GCAGTATAGACAAGTGAGTGAAGTACCACAAAGATGCGTTTTTTAGTACAACGCTTTTCGCGCTGGTGGTTAGTGACTTGGGAAAAATCTTCCACGAGGAGTTAAAGTAATGCTTTTTGTCGACGATCTTGCTATTCTATACAGAGCAAAGGATGTCCTCTCTATAAAAGATAAGCTCCAAGAAGCACTGAATTGTATTGACGACTATTCGAAATCATCGGGGCTCCGTTTTTCTTCTGAAACAACCAAATGTATTTACTACAGCAGAAAACAAAATATTCCACTATCACCAGAACTTCTTTTAGGTGACGCCATGCAAATTCTTAGGATTATTATTTGATAAACTTCCATCCTGGGAACACCACATAAAATCACTCAAAGATACAAGTACTAGAAAACTTCAGCTATTGAAAGTACTTAGTGGAACTAACTGGGGAGCAGACAGAACTACCATGATTAAAGTATACCAAGCTCTGATCGGTACAAAAATAGATTATAGTAGTTTTGTCTACGGTTCGATTATACGGTTTTATCTGCCTGGAAAAAATGTTCTAAGCAAGCTTGATTTCGTGTACCACACTAGAATACGCCTTGCAACTGGAGCCTTTAGAACAAGCCCAACCCTGAGGATCTGTGTCGAGTCTGGCCTTACACCACTGCACTTTAGAAGACAGAAACTAGCAATCAACTAATTACTAAGTTATACCCGTAAACTATACACCCCTCCCATAAATGTTTTTCAATATAAATTTTCAAAAAAATTTAAAGAGAAAAGGAATACCACATTATCATTGGCAGAAAGATTATAAATAAATTAAAACAAATTAGATTAAATGAAACAGAAAAAGAAATACCTCCTTGGGCCTATATACAACCAAAATTAAATCTCCATCTCACCAAATTCACCAGAGATAGTACATTACCTGCAGATTATAAAGAAAAGTTCCACAAAATAATCATCACATTACCTGAACATCTCCTAATATTCACTGACGGATCTAAATCAGATACATTTACTGTATCAGCATTTGTCACCCCTGGTACGACCTACAAATATAAATTACATCATCTTTGTAGTGTTTACACAGCAGAGATTAACACCATCGCAATGAGTCTCCGATAGTTATGAAAAAGCCAGTTGCAAATGTGGTTGTGGTATTGGATTCCCTAAGTACTTTGAAAGCCATGAATAACATGTATCCAGACCATCCAGGGGCTGCATTTTAAATCTTATAAAAATGCTTCTTGGAGTTGGAAAAATGGCACATTTTATCTGATCGTCTGGCCATATAGGCATTAAAGGAAACGAAGTGGCTGATATAGCAGCAAAATGAGCTCTTGCTCTTCCAGACCACGGTAAAGCTTTTTTGACACTATCTGAACTTGCACGACCTCTAAGAGAAACCATATCCCAGGAATAGCAAAGACGGTAGGATAACAGCGCACCTAGCAAATTAAAGATAAAAAAGAAAGAGGTGCAACCTTGGAGCAGCTCCAAATGCAGCAGTCGTAGAGAAGAGGTCGTCCTCACGTGGCTGAGGATCGGACATTCTAGTCATTAACTATAAAACGTGTTTTGAAAGAGTGACCTTTTTACACCACAAGGTTAAAAGATCTCAGAATACCCTAGAATATATCAGCATCTCTGGGAAATCGAAAATAAATTCTTACCAAAGTTATTAAGTTCCTAGACAATGAAAAAATTATAAAACATACATAACAAGTTTATAACTAATGATCCTTTGCAGATTCATTTATTTTTTTTTTTAATTTTAAAAGTTCATTGATTTATTAATTTATTGACTTTTTGTTTTAGTTTATTTATTTATCTATTCTATCTTATTATTTATAAGTGTCTATTATTATCATTATTTATTTATTTTATTCTATTATCCTTTTTTTTTATTTCTATCTTTGTTTTAGTTATTTTATTATATTGTTTTATTTTTATTTATTTTTTGTACCAACCACCTAAACAGTATAAAAGTAGTGTTATCTAGTTGATCGGGCGCTGGTGACCTGGATGTTTTGCGCCTTGACATCGAAACAAACGAACAAATAAGAGAGTCCCAATGTCCCCTTGTTCTTAAAAGAGAATATATTAGGAAGACCGGAAAGTAATGTCGTTTCTGAGCATGTCACCATTTGATTGTCAATTGGCAGCTCATAGTGTACATCTAAGTCGTGGCAAAGACATTCTAAGGTTATAGTGACTTCTTTTGTTACAAATAATTAAATAAAATTTGTGATGTTTATCCAAATGCATTAGATGTTCGTAAATGCCAAAGGTGGGTTTTCAAGTTTAAATCCAGTAGTTTTGATCTTTTCAACTCGTATTGATTACAAAGACCAACAACATTAAACAACAACGTATTAAGGGTGGAAGTCACATAAAGGTTTTTTAAATAATAATGAAGATGAATGTTAAGTAACATATTAATTGAATATTCACCCTTTTAAAGAAATCAATTTTATGCCTCAAAATTATTTTTTATAAAATTGTCACCATTGAACAAAATAGTTGTCACATACATGTTTACATAACATCTGAGGAAATGACTTGAATTGCTTAGCACTACATTCAATAACACCGTCTTAATTATTAAAGACCTAACAAACGGATTTTAACCAAAGAGACTTATGGAGTCCTAAAATGTATTTCTGATGAATTCGAGGTATCAAATTTTTCTTAGTTAAAACACGACAAATTTTATATAATTTTTCCGTGATAAAAATGTTTTGAATTTGTTTAACTTATGATCACTTTCATCAGAATATGTAATGTTATTTCAACATTAAGGGTAATAACTTTCAAACAAGCTTCAAAAATGTTAAGCAAACTGAAAATTTAAAGTGATGAATAACAAAGTCATAATTCACATATAAAAAAGGAAAGAGAAATTTTTCATTGAAATTTTAAAAATAAAAACTATAAATGGATAATTAATAATTATTTATTATTTCATATAATTATGCCTTAATAATTATTAACTTGAATAATTTATATTCTTCACTAGCATTTATATAACTTAACTGCTCATTGCTTATTTTTATTTGAAGTTCTTTTAGAATTAATTAAAAAATAAATTATAACTATTCACTATGGATAGAATATTACCTGAGAATTAATTTTCCTTCTTATGTCATTTTGTGCCTTTGCTTCTGTCACAATGTTAATGAAATATAATAATGTTTTATGTAATGTATAAATGATTAACCCTCCGGGTGGTGCCAGTAAGAAATACAGTTTAGTTATTGCAAAATGAAAATTTAATTTAATTTTAGAAATTCTTCTCAGCCAACTAAAATACACTCATTAAAATTATTGGTATTAAATGAGTTAATATTTTTATTTATAGTTATTTTAAAAACATTTTAACTGTAGAGAAACGTTCACATAATTCAGACTGAATACTATGCTTATTATAATTAGTAATATTTGTCTGAAGCACTGACTTAGGCATTTTTCACATCTTACGAACATTAATTTTAGTTTCTAAAAAAAGCTGTAAACTTTGTTTATGTTTAAGTAGAGATTATTATGCAATTATTGTTTGTTTTTTTCTAGTACAGTGGTTCATAAACTTTCTGGTAATTTTCATAGAATTGGAAAATAAGTATTGTACCCCTTAAAAAAATGTGTTAATATGGTAAGGAATTGAGATCTATAAAAGGATAATATATGTTTTGAAACATCAACACAAACATTTGAATATATGAACAAATATTGTAAAATAAAAAATTGTATTATATAAACAGCCATCTCATTGAAGTTTTTATTGATGTTTTGCTATGGTGCCTTAGACAGACAGAAAATTTTTACTTCAACTCTGGTTCGCAACCACTGCTCTAGAATCTTTGTCTTATGTATCTATTGTTAATTATATATTTTTTATTTTTGATCGTAATAAAAAATAATTGAGCATTAAATTTCTTAAGTTTATTTATTGTTACATTCCGCATCTATCTGTGTGGTTCATTAGCGGCTAAATTGCTTAAGTGAGATAAGAAAATGCAAATACCATGTATAATCTAGCATTTGTTCTTTAAAGGTCTTAACATAAAAAGAAGATTATTTTTTGTTGTTCGTTATTAGTTTTATCGACTCATTGTTTTTAAAACAATGATAATAGTTACTAAAGGACTAGATATGGGATGAAGTACTGAAATAAACATATATATTTTTTTAATTATGTAATTAAAGGTATACGGGGGCGTGTGCACAGAAAAAATAACATTACTAATAAGTTATAAACCTCCAGAAAAATCAAGATAAACAAATAAGCATAACTTATTACATATTCCTTTTTCTTTATAATTTTAACACAACAAAATATATTTCTTTATATAAATAAAATTTAATTTTAAATGTTGTGTAATACTATTTGAAATTGCACAAGTACATGACATGACATTATTTTGTTTTTTTGGTAATAGATATTTGTATTACACATATATTTATTTTTAAAGCTTGTCACAATATACAATTTATTTTTATTGGTAGTTCATTCTTTTATTACCTTACATTATTGGTGTTAATTAAAAAAAATATATATATTCTAAGCATTTGTAAGTAATGTCTGTACATATTACATCTATTAATAAATAGTCAAATTTGGATATCCATCTAGAATCAATTTAATAATAATACAAATGGGTGTATTCAATCAACATTGACTTAGGAAGTAATTCTAGTTGATAAATTGGAAATAATGTTTTAGAAGATGATCATACTTCTCAAGTATACTTGGAACACTTTATCACTATTGTACATGAAAAATTATTTTTAAAAATCATGCATGTGCATAACATGGGAATTATTATATTGTTTTATGGTCAACCTTATCGATTGTTGTTAAAGAGAGGCAGATGCTGAAGTTATCCCGGTGTTAATGAGATTAGCTCCTTAGCAATCTATAGAGACAATTATAGCATCAATAGTGATAATAGCATGACTCATTACATAAGTATGACACAAGCTGATCTACTCACACAAGTTAACTCACACTAGAGAATGAATTCTGACAATGCATATATTAAAAATGCACTAATAATCAACCATACTATTTATTATAATCAATGCGATCCACTGATAAACATCCAAAATTGCAACAAAAAAAATATATATATATATAAATTATAAATCAAAGTATGCAATGTCAAATTGAGATCCATTGAATGATGAGAAATGGAATTCAAAGATAATGAGTTTAGTAAAATAAGTACTAATCTATTAGTATTAATATAAATTTAAAGAAGGTAGATATAATAACAAGACTAGCTTGAACAATAGAAATATAATTTTACTAAAATTATATTTTCCTTAAAATTAATCCTACTTATGAACCTAATTTAAAACTAATTGATTTCATTAATTTTCATAACACAACAATATCTGTATTTCACAGAATGAAACAAGTTAACAGTAATTAAACAGTCAGTAAGTAGCAATTGTACACAACTATAAATTAGTAAGATTACACTTTTAACAAATAATTGTATAATTCAACAAATTTTATCATTCCATGATAGATAATAAATGATATTAGATATCATTTAAAGGCATCATATGCCCAGGTACATACTCATTGTACATCAATGGATGGATTTGTTTTGATTTGCTAAAATACATAGCTTTAATCCTTACTGTTCTAACAAATCTTTCTTCAGTTAATAGGTGTCATCATCTTCATCCATTGTAAAGTCACTACCAACTCCAGAATCCATCAAGTAAATTGAACTAAACAGGTTATAAATATAGGAATTAAATCATTTATATATAAATGAAGTTAATGAGAACCTATTCAGTGCAGGCCACCTTAACAAATACTTAGTTCTGCCATAAATACTGTTACAAAAGTTGAACTTTGTTTACATCCTTGGGTATTATTTAGATAATCCTAACCTCTATAAGGTTATTTTCTTTACATGTCATGATAATAATAATAAAAAAAAAAAAATGTATTTTTCTTTTACTCAGTTAACATGGAGTGAGGTGATAAATAAAACCGAATAGCTCTGATCGACTTACATAAATTTGGAAAATGTAGGTCAGAGATTTTCAACACTTTGAAATCTTCGGATATCAGCCGTATGTTCGTGTAGCGCACTATAAATAGATATAATGAGACCATATCTGTATGTCACAGACCTTGACTGGGCCATCCCCACACTGTGAGAACTGCAAATGCAGTGAGAGCAGTGGCTGCTCGAATCAGAAGAAATCTCATTCGAAAACAACAAATCATGTCTCGAGAAATGGGAATTTCTGTCAGATCAATATCTCGCATAGTAAAAAGTGACCTTAGGATGGGTGCATTTCGAAGAATGATAGGTTTGCTTTGATGGCACCACAAAGCTCCATTTTTGTAAAAAAAGGAGTTAAAACAGCCGCTAAAAGCTATTAGGACGATATTTTGGAACCTGTTGTCAAGCCTCTAAATGATGCTCTGTTTGCTGAAAGTCATTGGGTTTTCCAGGACTCCTCTCCATCTCACAAGGCCAAGTCAACTCAGCAGTCGCTGCAAAAGAACATTCCACAGTTCATTTTTGCCTCTGATTGGCCCTCAGGAAGCCCTAATCTCAACCCACTAGAACATTGGCTTTGGTCTGAACTGGAGAGGATGGCATGTCACAGAGCACATCCTAACTTGAAAAGCCTAAAACAATCGCTGGTTGAGCGCTTTCCTCAAGAAGTTGCTGCGTGATGCTATTGATAAAGCCCCAAACAAGCTACGTTAAACACCGAAGCTAAATGTCAAGAAATTGTTAGAAATCCAACACCTAAACATCCATGTAAATCCGGAAAAGATAGACTGTGTGGTGTTTGCTATACAGAAAGAAAAGAAGTCAAAACTCGCACGCACTTTCACCATAGCCAAAACAACAATGGCTCCGTCCAACTCCATCTTATACCAAGGTATAAAACTTGGCCGCCAAATGACCTCAGCCCACTGTTACTCAAAGGCCCGAACAGTCCGAAGAAAATCCTACAGACTTCATCATTTACTACTATCACCACTCCTCACTACGCCTAAAAATAAAAATCTACAAAAGCATACTTAGACCGGCCCTACTATATGGAGCTCCACTTTTCACACACCTTAGAGAAGCAACACAATGCCATCTACAACTCCAAAACACAATACTGAAAAAAATAGTCTGTTCCACATCACTGAAGAAAACAAAGATGGAGAAATTACATGAATTCTTCAAACTACCCACAATTCCAGAATTCATCAGAAGGCACATTAAATTCTTCAAACGACCACCAACCCCTTCCTCTTCAAGACATTAACTCCAGCCTCAGCTCCAGTTAGATGGCAGAGCAAGCAGCTGGAAGCACAACAAAATGAGGACAAAATGCTTTAAGAAATAGTTTAGGTTTTAATATTAAGTATAGAATAAATCACAAACATAAAGCACGCCCCAGTGCTTAGAAATAACATTAAAAATAAAATAAAATAACAGACAAATTAAATATCAAAAACTCCTTAAAATGTAGTCTTACTACAGAAGAAGGAGAAATGTCACTAGTTAAAAAGAGCAAAGAATGGGGACATTTTGAGTCATTTCTTTTTTGTTTTACTCTCTATAGATATAAATTTTATTTCCTAATGTAAAGTTTTTGAAAAATTAATTTTTCTGTTGAAATCTGTATATATTTCACTGTAACAATATTTATGACAAGACAAGGTATTTCATCAATTTATTTTAAAAAGTTAAATTTTATAACCTTAAATCACCAAGTTCTTTAATGAATTTTCCCTTTGTGAAATTGTATGCTTTTTGCAATTACATTTGATATGTAAAGGGGTGTGTGTCATTTTAGTGCACTTATTTATTTATTTTTTTATAGTTGAGTTCTACCAATGGGTAGTTTTTCTTTATGTTGTACATGTCATGTTACCAATTTCACATTTACTTATTGTATTTTCTATGTAATACAGTTGTAAATTCCATTAAAATAATAAAAAAAAAATATTTTTTTATAGATAATTAAGGAACTTAATAACATATCTACCAGCAGCTCTTGCAGGTGCTGGAGCATTAGCAGTTACTGGATAAATGACCTTAATTTAATAATTTAAATGTTCTCATGAACTCTTTCATTTCAGGTTGATTATGATCCGACTGTGCCATAAATGTTCCTAATTTTACAGAAGACTTTTTTTTCCTTTTTGGTGGCTTAGCAACAAATGTTTTGTAGGCCTGAAGATGTTTACACTGTAATGTGTGTCAGTATAATATTTTATCAATGAAGAAGGTAACTGGTAAAATGTACCTCAGAATTGGAAAATAACAGTTTACTGAGCAGTGAAATTGAAGATGTTCATGACAGTAATGAAGAGAATGAGAGTGATAAAGAAGTAGCTGCTAAACTTTTTTTTTAGTTAGGGAAAGATGAGGAAAGAATCTGGACTGATCTTTTTGTTCAAGATTTTCATGAAAACCTTTAAACGTGAAACTAACTTGTATATTCTGTAGTTTCTGATTTCCTAGCCTACTTACAAATGTCTGTTTTTGATTATTATAAAATCATATTTAGGAGTAACATTTTTTATTTAAGTGAGCACAAAATAAATTTTTTAATATAGTTTTAAATGCTAACAATATCAGTGCTCAAAAATATCATTTTAATGACTTATAAAAGAATGGAAATCATTCTTAATGAGTAACAGAGAAATTTTCTTTTATTGGCCAAATTACAATTCAATGTTCTTATTTTCATAAACAATTTTTAAGGCAAAATATGATTAGCCTATTAGTGCCAAGATCATTTTCTGATTTTACTATTTGCTTTAACATTTTGTGATATACCAAATAATCTTACTTTTTCTGCCAAACCAAATGGTGATATGCGAAAAAACCAATGAGCCATTCTATATCTAAGAGATCCCTTGAGAGATTTATAGTACACTTCACTGCCTATAATTGACCTTAAATTTTATCTGGTCAATAAAGGATAATCAATTTTATTAAAAAATATAGATTCTTATTGTGCACACTTCTTAAAAAAAAAATGAGATCAGATTGAATCAAACCCGATGGTACTATCTATTTCTTCTCAAAGCAGTAATAGTAGTCAAGTTCTGCCCGAGGGTTAAGTATTACCATAACCTGTGATTTATCATACTATTAATTTTATAGAAGTATCAAAAATAAATAAGTCTGCTCCAACACGAGTTTTGATTAAAAGCATATTATTAGCCATAAGCACAGTATTTTCATTCTAAAACCTGTAGGTCGCAGAGAATGGAACAGAAAAACTGATTATAAAAGCATAAAGCAGACAGTTTGTTGATAGTCAAAACTTGTGTTTGAATAGACCTATTACTGAATATCAGAGTAAAAATTGAATAAATGGACAATTATTTCTCAATCTAAATGTAATTTTCTTACACAGATAATGAATGCTTTGAATCAGACTAAAGGTGGTGTTTATTTAAAGTATTAAGCTAATGTTATACAATTTTATTTATTTGTTAGCAGGTAAAATGAAAGGTTTATGTTTTTAAACCCAATTATTAGTTGATAAAAAACTTACTTGATAGCTCGACATGAAAAAAATACAATTCTTTTCATTTTTTTGTTATAAAAAAAGTAATTGAAAGACCATAGGCATCCATCTTCACTGAAGGGGTCGGATGTAAGATCTGGATTATAACTGAAAATAAAATGTGTTAGGATTAATCTTTAAGCCTTTATTTAATAAGTCGTATAAAAAAACTAATAAGTAGTATGAAATAACTAATAAGTAGTATAAAATAAATAGTAACCTATAAATGTCACAGTCAGCGAGAGAAATCTCATCCTGTATTGCAGACCAAACATTAGCTCTTAAAGAACGGTACTGTTCACCTACTGTGGCGCTTAAATTACTATCAACAGTATTCATCACCCACTGAAATTAGAATTTTGATTTAAATTTGAAATAAGTTAATCAATTTATATATTCATAAATTATAAATTAAGCACAAGATAAACTCACTGACAAGGAATTTAACTTTTCTAATTGGAGACAAATAGCCAACAAATTGGTTTTGTAAATGCATTTTCATTTGAATAATGTTCGTTTAAAATAATTAAATATTCTATTTTATAAGCTGCTATGACCACTTGCTACAAGTCCCCAACAAATACATGCTTATGCAAGCCAATAGAAATCCATCATCAAAACTTGCACTTCTGGACCCTTGCCCTTATTTGATTAAGGTCCATCATACTTGAACTACTTTTTACTTTTTTTTTTATATAAACCTGGAAATTATAATTTTTTCCATTCGAGTACGTTTGATATTGCTTATAAAAACTTCACAGAGAGGAAGCATACACTTTTGTGAGCAGAATGAGATGGAGGAGGAAAACTTCTTTAGACTTTCGTGGTGGATATAATCATATAATTTTTAAAGAGTTCATGTTTCTACAAGACCTTGAATCAAACATTTTATTTTAACAATTGAAAACATGATAGACAAAAATTTTTTTTTTCTTTTTTTTAAATGAAGATAATTATAGGAATGGTAGGAAGGGAATTAAGAAGGTGTCAAGAACTGATAATAGTGGTCTTAGATTTTTCAACATTCTGCCTCAGTTTGCAGTCCACCCGTTTTCCAAACAAACAATAAAATCTTGAAATCGCCTGGAGCATGGGTAGGATAGGTTTGATAAATTTAAAATCATCAGCTATGTGGTTATGCTAATGTTAACTGAAAGATCGTAAATGTAAATAGAGAAAAGCGTTGGTGAGAGTGATAAACCTTCAGGAACATCTCATGTTACTTGAATTGAAAAGAAAAGGAATTTTTTAGATAAGGAGGGATTTTATGATTAACCGAACCTAAAACTCTTGAAAAGCCAAATAGACTGAGTAGATTTTCTCTATAGAGGATTGAAGATCTTTGACAATTTGGTGGGAGCACAGTGAGTGGAATAATAAAATCAGAAATGAGGTTGTAAAGGTTCTGCTAGTATACTAGTTGCTACTGGCGATTTAATTTAACTAACGGACTTAAAGCCAGTAATCATTTTAAATTCTCGATAAACTTCATCTGAACACAACTTCAGTCAGTTGGTTGAAAGCCGTTGCTTTCTACATGAAAATTTAAATTAAAAAGGCGAAATTTGATGATTCATTTAACGGAAGAACAGAGAGTTTATTTTTATATGAATAAAAATATCAAAAATATGTCTTTAAAGTTTTCTTAGTTTTTTTTTTTACATTACTCCGAAACTACGCATTCAATCGAAATTATTATCATATACTAAGTTAAAGAAGCCAAAATTAACTATCAATTGTATAAACAACTTTTTGATGTAGGTCCTACGGATGAGGGGTTAAAAAATGTTGACTGTTTGCTTAGTTTACAAGAAATATGTTTTCGTCGGTTTTTTTCCAAAACTCATAATCTATGCATCTCTCGAAGATATTTGTAATAATCAATTTGAAAGAGTATTAAACTTCCAATGTATTTCATGACAAGTTAATATGTGAGAAGGTTAAGGTTCCCTTAAAGCGCATGACGCTTCTGCGATCGAAGACGTATCTGCCACACTCAATTAAAGCGCTTTATATCGAAACCTAATAATCAGACTAGAAGCAAGGCAAGAGCAGAAGGCAGTGGAAACATTTAAATACCATGGATCACGTATACATATCATATCATAGACTACAAAATAAGGGAGAGAATGGACGCAGCAGGGAGGTAATATAATACTCTGCTAGATTCCCTTTTAGGAAAACCTGAGGTCTTGAAAGATACAAAGAAGGTAGAATACAAGACAACCTCTTCCCTTACCTAAAGTTACTCTAGCGAGTTATGGGTCCTAACGCCAAGCTGTTGGAATTGATATTCCTCAGGAAAGCAAAAAAACAGCGTAGAAATACCGTGATAAGGAACAATCTCGGCCAAAAATCACAACGCGAAACCTTGGAGAAGAATCTTCAGCGACGGTTTTGACATGTCTCATGGATACCAGGTGAGAGAATAGCTAGTCAGAACTATGACTTGAAAGTGGATGGAAGGAGACAAGGATGCCCTAGGAAAACCTGAGAGGAAAGTGTTAGTGCGGAGTTTGCGGCCAGGAATCTGGATTGGAGAAGGGAGCTGCCACAGAGTAGAATGGTTCAAGCTCTTCAGAAAGAACCTGAACCAGGCGGTAGACGAGGAGCGGATTAAGTAAGTATAACAGAACCAGAATGTATAAACAAATTACATAGCTGAAATATATTCTGATATATGAGAGACATCTATTTTTTAACAATAAAACATTTAAGGACCGAAACACTTCCGTGGAAGTGTCCGTCCTGTGGAAGAGGACCGAAAAGTCCGTGCGATTCTGCATAAGCTTGAATTACATTGAAAGTGAATCAACATTTTTATTGAGCTTGGGTATAATCGTAAATATACAAAAAGGTGAAAAGCCATAAGAGCGCTTGAAATTTGAAGCGCATTTCGGACTTATGAAGAGAAAACGACCATTTGAAATTTTTTCTCAATCAACTACCATTCCACTGGGCTAATTTGATGACTTGGTATCAGTTTTTAAAACGGAACCGATTACATCACTAGTCAAGGCAAATCCTCTTTTAGGAACAGATTCTTTACATCATATCAAAATTACAGTCGTCTGTTCATTCGTTAAATGGACCATCAAATTTCTCTTTAATGCCTCTTTAATTAAAATTTTCAGTTTTTTAACCGATCGACTGGAGTTGTGTCCAGATGAGGTTTATCTATAATTTAAAACAGTTACTACCTTCAAGTAGTTCAGGTAAATGAAATGTGAGGTAAATCCTAGTTTATTCAGGAAGCAATCACGGGCGGATCTACGGGGGGAGGGGGCTATCGGGCTGAAGCCCCACAAAATGGTAAACTGTAACAATGTTTTATGGAAAATGTTTTTTAAAAAATACCTCTTAAACCTGGACCTGCTAGTGGAAGCAATTAAGTTGAAAGTGAACTAATCTCTCTGTGGCTTGGATAGATTGAATAAAATGGAATAAGCCCTTAAGTTGAAGGAGCAGAGACTTTGTTTAATGGATAAAAAAAAACTCTTTCCCAGGTATTAGGAAAAGAGAATTTTAGGAGGAAAAGTTATAATCATATAAAATTTTGTAAATCTTATAAGAGTGGCTCAGTTCTTAATGGCCTAACTCTGGAAGGAGATTCTAGGCAAAATTTCGTTTGATTGTTGATGAGACATTTCATTTGATGTATAGGCCAATTTTGTCTTCTCTTAAGGTGGTCAATTTATTTTTTGATCGGAAGTGATAACAAAAAAATATTTAATTCAGGTAATTAACTTCATAACCATCCCAACCCTCTTGTTTCTAACCTTGCTTCCTATTCAATTCCTGATTGTTATTATTACATAAATTGGTAACTGCAAAAGGACAGAAAGAATGGATGGTTGTGTGATAATCTTAACAGGAAATAGATCCAGGCTATATTCGTAAGTTCTGGACAAGCAGACATGTGTTATTTCAGTAGTTCATAATTTGTCTTTAATTTTTGTTATTATATTGTAGTATATATGGTATGAATGTGTCATGTATATCTTTAATGCTTATTGCCCCCCCCCCTCAAGTGAGGCAGAATGAATTATTTCTTAATAAATACATATGAACATTTGTAGTCCAATACCTTCTAGTTTATTTTACAGGAATTCTAAACCTACATTCATGAAATTGCAGCATAGATAATACGTTGTGTTTTAATTATAAACCAGAACAACAAAAAAGTTGATGGTAAGAAGGTACTTGTATTAGTCCTTTGTTTGTCAAAGCCTTGTCATCTTAACCTAAAGGAAGGAAGCTATCAATCTTTCTTGAAAAGCCTAACCATGTGCAAGATAACACGCTTGCAAATACATCATTTCATTTTCTTAGTCTTTTTTTCTGAAGTGAAATACTAGTAAAAGGTTGTTAAAAATAAATAGCTTCTAAAGGATTATATGTTTTTAAATAACAGTTTTTTTTTATCCTGAAGGTTATGAATTTTTTTCTTAATAATTCTCATAATCTCAGACCTTTAGTTCTTTAACTACCAACGGGTTCAAAATAGCAGTAAAACTGAGTCTTCTGTTTAAACTTCATTAAAACCCATTTTTTTTTAGTAGAGAAAATAACCTGTACCACCAAAGCCCATGAAAGATCTTCAGTTCAATACTATGTGAGGAAGACAGTTTCTTAATCAACAGTTGTGCAAGAAGGTGATTTGACTGAGATCACGCACGACCGTCAGATTTTTCTCCTTAATTAATTAGGAGTATCCACTTTATAGTGCGAGGCTGTGCCTCAGGAGGTTCTTTTGACCACACAGTCAGTCTATTCATGCCTGATTAAACAGAATAAATAATTGCCTGTCATCAGTCGGACTCAAACCTGGGAACTTAAGCTTTGGAAGTCCGCACCTTACCCACTGAACTACCTCTTTCCCTTTTTTAGTAGGAGAGGAATTTGAAACTGTGTTTTCACTTAACATTTAATGCTGTGTATCTACCAGAGATAGACAATATGTGAGTTGGCTAGAAAATCCTGCTGAGCTAACTGTAAAGGGCTTGAGAAACAGAACAGTTTCATTTTAATTAAATATTCGGTGATACATTTTAAAATTCTCAGTCCGTTGTTAACAATAATAAATTAATTAGTTAAACAACATCATTAGAATAACTAATTGAATGCTGGTTGGAAAAATAAATGGTATAGAGAAATTTTAGTTTGTAAGACTTGTGATTTAAAATGATATATTTCCGTTGTTTCATATATTCATGAAAAATGTTTTATTTTCTTGAAATGACGCATATGTTCTCTCAGATATAATATAATATTTTCAACTTTTACTTTATCTAAAAGCAATTTCTCTCCTTTCTTAAAAATTTAACACTTATTTTTGGCATTTTGATTTAATTTTTTAGAATCACTTTGAACTAATTATTTAAACAATGAATGGCTGGAAAATTGTGTTTATAGTGTGTGCACTGTGATACTACACAAACAAAATTGTGGAAAAACACACATATCCTCTGCCTATCAACAAAGATTAAAAATATAATTAAACAAATAAAACATTTAAAATATACACATTAAGCTAGTTTCTAAAACAAAATATTGATGTATCTTTTTATAAGGTTTTAAAAAAAAAATCTTGTAAGCTCTAACAATGAGGAAAAGCCACTTCATACAAAAAAAAGATAAAACTTTTTTTCATAAATTGAATATAAGATAATATAACAGCATTGGCTAACAATTTAAACATTATTGGTCTAATATTATATCATTTAGAGACTGTATACAATTATACCATCTCAATTAATATATCCCAATTTATTTATAACTTGAATTCACTAATACAGTAATAAATAAATAATAAAAAATTAAATAAATAAAAGATCAATTTTTTTCAGGAACTAATATTTACTTAAATAAAAAAAACAAATTTAAGAAAGCTGAAAAAAAAGTCTAGGGATCACGTAAATGAAAGACTATGGTGAAGATGGTTCTAATTTCTGATATGTTTCAATCTGTCCTTAAAACAACATTACAAAAATATCAGTCTTAAATATCACACTCTTAACAGAAAATACTAATGTATATTTATCTATAAAAATTAGAAGTTACTATTTCTCAATATTACAATTAAATTAAATAACATTTTTTTTCTTTTCTTTTTTGGTTATCAATAGATAAATATTGCAGTTGAAAAATTGTTAAATTCTTTTATTTTTAATAAAAATAAAATCTTTACAGTACATGACAAGTGGTATTACAAATATAAAGAGAATTGAGGCTAAAGAAAGCATCAAGGCAAATCATTCAAGGTCTTTTAGCAGCCTTTGACAGGTAGTCCTAATTATAAATGTTGATACATTGATGATTCACACTCAGACAAGATTTTATAACATTGTATTGCTTGGATAACATAAATATCCAAATTACCTGCATGCTCGGTTCTTTGCTGAACTCATGGCTTTTTGCATCAGAGAAATCATAATCTGGTTGAAATGCAGCATTAAGTGTAGCAATAAGATAAAATAATGTACGTCTGCTTATTGTATCACATAAAGGTCCTTCTTCATCACCAGAGATACTACGACTAATAAAAATAGAACTGAGTCAATATGAATTACAAATAATATAAAGGATTTAAACAATCTCAACTTAAACCATTAAAAAAAAACTAATTTACAAAATACAAACAAATGAAATTAACCTTAAATAGCTTTGACAAGGAGATAATCCTAAGCCTGACTGTGGAGGAGAAAGAGCTTGGAGATCATTGGGAGTTACACCTTGTTCGGCGTTAAACCTTTTATACAACTGCTTATCATTTCCAGTCATCTTACAAGAGTAGCTCTCTATTCTAAATACATCAGGAAAAACAAGTGTATGAATAACTAACAATTGAAAAATGAATCCTTTAATTATCATTCTGCATAATAGTTATGTACCTTCCAACAATTTTACTGTCACCAGAATCAAAACATAACGCTGCGTTGAGAGCTTCAAAACGAGAACTTTCCAACAGTTTCATTTTATAAACTGCAAAATAATATATATACTATAATAAAGTACTAAAAGGATACAATTTAATATTTGATATTATACTTTACCTTTCTTCTGTTTTAAACAATACCAAACCTTAACCAAGTTCTTCTTATAGAGATCAAATTAAACACTATATGAACCACTTAACAATCTATGCTTATAAGGGGCACTAAAGTTCCTAAACATTATCTTGGGATGCAAAAATATTCCTTTTCGTCTTGAGTGTAGCAAATTAACTCCTGGATTGATATGAAGAATTTTTTTTTCTGAAGGAATGATTGGGTACATTACAAATGAGATGTAACTTTGGCGACTAAACAACACCCAGCAATAGTTTTTTATAGTCTTGAATTAAATAATTTGTTTACAAACAACTGATAGGGCTTCACTTAGTTGTGAACTAAAGAACTAACGTCAAACACTTCACTGGCAAAAACTAATTATCTTTTTCAGATCGTTCACCACACATTAACATAATGGGATTATTCACAGAGCACTATAACTAATTTCAAATTACAAAACTCTAAGACAACTTTATTTTGACAGCTAGGCACTAATAATTCAATATCAAGCCGCGGCTGGTTATGCTACAGAGTTGCAACCTAGATATATAAAATAATAAATTTTGTTGACGTTAAGATGTAATATAAATGGAACATTACTTTATTTTGACTTAAATTATTTCGTTCTAATGTGTTTTTAAGCTTTTAAATCACTGCTTATTGGTGTAGACTTAGATTTATAAATGTATAATTTTGTTCTTAGGTTACAAACCTGCACAGCGCATTTTGTAGCCTCGTCGCAGGGTCCCAATCTGGTTTTAACAGTTATGGCACCCTCCGAAAGAGTAGGTTATATCAAGATGTCGGAATGGCGCGTAAGGAGAATTAAATTTAAACTGTCTGAGAATAATAGTTTTTAATTGTATTACAAAGCCAGTGTTTATTAAAAAAGTAATTAAAAATTTAGCCTTATTTGTTTACGAAAATCTATTTTTAGAAAAAATAGGCTCCTCCAATCAGAATTCAGTCGGCTTTAAATAGACAGAGAGTGACGAAACTAATGCATACATTCTAACATGTTATACAAAGTGAAACAAAATGTTACCGCAATTTAACTACACTTCAGTATTAAACAGTGATAAATAATTCGTATCAATAACTTTCTTTTTAACAAATTACTTAAATAGTGAAAATGGACGAAAACCCACCCATATTAATCGGCGAAAATGTATTCTGGTTAGGAAGTGGAAGTGGCCTTCCAAAAAAAGGAAAAGTAAAATGGATAGGAAAATTACAAGAAATCGGACCAGGTTGGACTATTGGAGTGGAGCTGGTAGGTACGTAGTTTTAACCAAAAGGCTAACCTTAAAAATACTGATATTATTTGACTTTTTGATACTAATTTTGATCACTCATTAGGAACGAACATTTGTTCTTTTTGTAACAGTATATATTAAATAGTTTATAATCTATTAAAAAAATTGAAATATATTTTAATATAAATTTGACGGCTAATATATTTTAGAAGTTAATTCATTTATTCACAACTGTGTAAGTGATTACAATATCATGAACATGATTAATCTCAATTTATTGTAACAAATATTGATGAATTGTTATGATACTCTACGCTTAATTAATATTATAGGGCTACGATATGAAGATTTCAATTTTCCAAGGTATAGATCATAAAAATTAATTTTTTGATCTGAAAAAGTTTTTAAAACCGTTTATTAATAATTGAACTAAATACAACAGCATTTGTATGAAGAAGGAAAAAAAAACATTGTTAAACATGAAAACATAAACATCATAAAACTGAGTTGGAACATTATTAAATCATAATGTAACTAAAAGTAGAATTCTAAGACTTAATATTATTTAATATCAAAAATATTTATGTTTGCAAAAAATAATATTTGCGAGTTTTTACAAAAACATTTTCTCTGATTTAGCCAAATTTTATTTAATCCAAATATTTTGTGATTTCTAAATTGTTGATGAATAATTTTTTATTTTATTAAAAACGAGTAAAAAAAAATTCATATTGCACTGTCAGAGATACATGAGAGCACAGGCGGTTCTACATTAAAACTATTAGTACTCCGTGAACACGGAATTTGATGCTATTTAACTTTTGTGCTATGTTTTTTTTTTATCTCTTAGAGAACTAATTTCCATGCTGCAGCGACATTTATAGTAATTTGCATCAATTTTTGACGAAACCAGTAAAAAGCAGCGTGTTTTGACTGTGGATATCGTCATACCACTTAACCAAATTATTCAGTTTAGGTACTCATTCGACGCACAATTTAATTTATTAAAGTCGACGTTTTTTCGCTTTGATGCACCATTTAGGTAAAAATGGTGGTTTAAAAAAAAAAAAAAAAAATCGGAAAAAATATGGATTTTTTGGCTGTAAAAGTTTTTCCTTGGTGGTCCGCGTTAACAATTCTGTTTTTTACATATCTAAACCCACATATACAAGTAAAAAAAAAATCGTTTCCCATATTTTTCGCAATGAATTTCCCAGACAGATTGGGAGGAGGCCTTGTCATTTTGTTTCAGAAATAATTGTCCAGTTATGAATTTTTGTAGGGCGTGAAGGATTTTTTGCGGATCGACGGGGAACAGAGGGGTGATGGGGAGAGGCCTGTCGGCTGAATTTTCTTACTTTTTATCTTACGTACGTCTCCGATTTTAATGAAATTTTGCTGTTACTAGTTCGAAAATATATTACACCCATATCTGAGAGCTCTTGCCAATGCACCCTGAAAACCAAGAAAAAAAATCAAACACAATTTTAACAAAACAAAACATATTACTAACTGTTGTTTGTATAATAAATTGCAAAAACAACAAGACACATCCAATAAAATAAAACAAGTAAACTTTTGTGATGAAAAAATAATGCACATTCTTTGCTAGCGCTCTTTGAACTATTAAATACGAATGTGTTTTGAACAGAATATAAAACTTATTGGATTTCAAATGGAAGGGTTTTATCCTAACCCAAAATTACTAAAACATTTGGAAAATGAATTATTGCTTTTACACTTACGTTTTTTGTTGAACTTGAAGCGACACTTGGAAAAATATTTAATTTACGTAATTACCAATTACTTTGTAGTAAACTAGACGAAATTTACTTAAAATTAAAGTAGACTTAGTAATTGTTAAAACTATTTAACATAGAAAATGCACATAATCGGCGGAAAAAGCGATTCTTCTGTAAGCGCCTACTGTCTTCTTCAGTACTCATAAATTGCATAATTATGAGGCTTTAATTGGTATAACTTTTATTCTTTTGTCTAATAGTATGTATAGAAACACTTTAAATCCAGTTATTAAATAAAGTAGAAACAAAAAAAGTAATAGTTCACCGCGTCCTACTACTAAGGGTGAAGATGTCATGGACGAACAACCCTTGCCAAGACCCGCATGTCCAAAATGAATGAGAAAACGTGAATCCATCTAAATTAGTGAGAGTAATATTAATAGGTTATTGAAAACAGTGATTACAATGAGGTTTATAATTGTATGCATTTAATATAATAAAATAAAATTATCATGAGATTTTTATCATCTGTAAAATACAATATTAAATTTTTCAACTAACATAATTTTTTTCTACTTTATTTAATAATCGGATTTAAAGCGTGACCACACATATTATTAGACACGCGAACAAAAGTTGTGGTTCAAGAATATGATTAAAACAACTTTTTCTGAAAATGACAACATTTTATGAATAATTTTAAAATAGCTGTAATTGTAGACTGGTTGGAAAGTGATTTTCATATATATATATATATATATATATATATATATATATATATATATATATATATATAATATATATATATATATATATATATATATATATATATATATATATATATATATACATACATATATGTATATTATAATAGGGAATTTAAGTATCTACAAGTTCTTTTAGATGGATTTCTTTCTCGGATGAATATCTCAGACGATATGAAGGAATGTTTGATGAAAAATGTGAGGCAAATGGATTTTTTTCGAAAATAACATTTTTTTACGAACGTGCAGCTAAAAAACGGTTTAGAATTCGGATAAAACTTACTAAATAAAAATTTTAGCTGTTTTTATATACTTTATTTTACTATACAAATAATTTTCCCCTGCGATGCACCCTTTTCGAGATATAAGCGAACATTCAATAAGACTGACTGATTTGTCTGATTTTTAATCTGGTACTCGAGAAGACCATAAGAAATACTGAGATCCAGATATCTGTTGCCTTGATAAACCATCTCGTACATCTCTTCGGATACGCTGACGGCAATGATATCGCAGAAAGGTCATTGGAGGCTGATAGGGAGGTATTTATATCACTAAAGGGTGCTGCCGCTAAAATGGGGATACTGTTAAACTTTAATTAAACTAAATACCTTAAACAGTATACAAATTCTACAGTGTCGAGTTAGGTAACAAATATATTAATAGAAGGGCAAGTAATTTAAAAAGTTGAGGAGTTTATATACCTTGAATCAAAGGTAATTTAATGTTAGGAAATCACTTCAGGAAACAAACGAGGCTTTGTTAACTATTTGGCAGCTTTCAACTCTTCAGCACTCATTATCCTTAATTTCTTACACAAGAGATGCCACTATGTAATATCAGAAAATCACTCCAGGAAACAAATTTGGCGAAATACATAAAACACTACTGCCAGGAAATCACTTCAGGAAACAAATGAGGCGAAATACACAAAATACCCTTATTCCTCTACACAAACATCCCACAATCAGGAATAAAGGATTGCTACTGCTCTGTGGATAACCTCACCCAAGCCAACCTGCTTTTTTTACAACAACTCAGCAGTGCTGCCAGATAACATGCATTAACTCTACACACTCCAATCTTTACAATTTATGCTTTAAATTGTAAATTGGTTTAAAATAACAAAACAAAATTTCAAATATTCAATACAAAAATTTAAAGGTTAAATTATTAATTTAATAACATATAATAAACTACTTTAACAAATGTTTTCTGTTTCCTTTTTTAGTCTTGATAAGATCACTGGCTAATAATATTTCGAGATACCCTACTCTTCTTAGCTGTTTTTTTTTTTTCTTTCTTCTCTTCCAGTTTTGGAAAATTACTTTAGTGGACTATTAAGAATTATTTGTACCACCAGTTGTTACTTGTACTGACTAAGATTTGGTTCTGAAGGGGACCTTTGGCTGACGACAGATCTGATACTATCTCTTGCGATGTTCCTGGAAAGACTGGTTCGAGCTGCAGGTGTGACAGAGGGTTTTACTCTGAAGTGTTGTTTGAAGCGTGAAATTATAGTCTTAACTGGTACTGATCCGGTCTTCTCGGTAGTGCCATCATCTAGACCACTCCTTTGTAAACGATTGTAATGGTTCAAAGATATTCCAGCTTGCCCTGAATGGTGAGACTCACTTGCACGAGAGTCAAAGCGCTGTAAAGGACTCTCTCTCGTAGGTGTTCTTAGCATGGAACAGATCTGTGTTTTGGTTTGGCCAATAACTGTCCAACCTAGTTTCTGTGGCTATCAAATTTTTAGTAATTGGTTCTAACCTTCCTGGCAGGTTTTGTTCCATGACATCTGCTCCAAGTATCAACTCGACTTCTTGCTTGTCTCTCCCACCTTCAGGGACGGTCATCGTCTCGAACCCTCTGGTTTGAGTCGTGTCCCTCATTGGTGCAGTCACTGCGGAGGTGCAGGCATCCTCCTGTACATCGGCAGTCAATGTAAGGCCGTAGCGATCGTAAGATTGCGGAGCCTGAGACCAATCATGCTCTGAGGTCAGGGAAGCAGTGCTTCCCGATCGAATTGGTACTACGGGGCGTCGCCGGAGCCCTGGCGGCGCTATGGGTGGACGGCGAGAGTGCTTGCACTGTTCGGCCGTGGCGGTCGTTGTGTTTACGACCACTCGCTGCACGAAACCAGTGTTCAGCTAGTCTTGACGTTGTTCAGGCTAGTCATCTGGTATAGTGTGCAGACGACTGGACGGAAGTTATGGTAGTAGAAAAATGTCCGTTCCGTGGGCGCCGATTGTGTGCCCACATACACTTGGTCTTACCTTGGCCGGGGAGTTAGGTTGGAGGCTGGTTAAGGCTTGACGCTAGGAACGGCTTCCAACCGATGCTCCTTCGGAACATAGAGTAGGCGATTTCTCGCTGTCTCTCCCACCATCGCCATCGTTCCATGGTATATTTCTACCTTTTAATATATCTAGGCATTCATCATTCGATCTAGGGATATCACTGTAAATTTTTATTTTGTCCAACTTTACTCCACCAGAAAATTTACCT